ACTAAACAGCTTTGCTTAAATATTGAAGAATAACGATTTCACCTAAAACAGATAAATTTTAATATTTCCTAAATACTACTGTAATTATGAGCTTGTGCATACTAATTTTTCTGATCATACTAAAATAATTTTAACCTGTAAAATTAACTAGATTAGTGATAGAAAAGATTAAAATAATTAAATATGATAAAATAAAGGCCTATAAATTAAATAAAGTAGCAAAATCAAAACAGGTAACTTCTAAGAATTTTATAAATATATTCAAATAAATCTAAAAAAGAAAAAGGTAGTCTCAAAAAGTAGGATAAGAATTCTTATAATTAAAAAAAGATAGAAATTTTAGAGAGTATGTTAAAATATTTCACTGTTATTTTTGAAGGTCAATAACAAAAGGCATTTAAGGTATTTAAATCAATAAAAAATTTAAATCCAAATAAAAAAGAAGGAGGAATAATGAAACTCTTTTTCTTAATAATCTTGAAAATTAGCTTTCAATATTAAAATAATGTTGAATATATCTCTATAATATATTTTATATGATGATTAAAAGTAAAGAAGTGTTATAGGCTTGAACAAAATTGATAGATGGGTTGAGTTGATATATGATTATAGGAGAGATTCTTAAAATGGTAAAAAAAAGGTAGGCGAGATAAATTTTTTGAGTTATTACAGGTTTGAATTAATGTAAGAACAAAATAAAAAAATCACTTATTGGTGGTGGATCTTTTAAGAAAATGATTTAAATTCAATTAAGTAAGAATTTAAAAATTGGTTGTAAGTTATCATGATAGGTGAATATAAAAATGGCCAAAAAGTTGGTTGTTGAGATATTTTATTTTGAAAATCAAGAAATAATAAAAAATTTGAAAAAATGTAATACAAAAATATAATATAAATATTTCAGAGGTGGAGGGTAATATGATGAGAAAAGTTTAGAAGATTCCATTAAGATTTGGGAAATGGGCCTAATTATATAATGGGTTTAATCAAGAAACTTTAATATAAATGTAAGAGATATTATTATATATTTTAGAGGTGGCGGATAATATTATAATTAAAATAATAAATGTATAGGAGAATCAATTAAAATAGGGAAATGGATTGAATTGAGCAATTAGTTCTTGAATTTTGGAATTAAATCACTTACAATGTGACTAAAGGTAGGTAGATGGGATATTTTATGGATTGGTGAAAATTAATAAATATAAGTATGAAATTTAAAAAATTTATATTAGTAGAAGTGGATTATACAATGAACTGTCGAGCAATAATTTTTAATATTATTCGTAAGTAATTTATAAAGGTATGTATATGGTATGAGTTTGAGAGAGATTGGAATAACATGGAGAATTAATTGTTTAAAATTTTCAACGCTTTATCCATGTTTAGATGAGTAACTTTTATAAAGCAATAATAATTAAAATTATTAAGATATATTTAATTATAAAAATTCTTCATTAAGATTACTAATCATTTATTTTAGAGGCTAAATACAATCTAAGCGTTCCAATTTCTTCTATTAAATTCTCAACGATTAATGGTAGCTCTTAAGACATAAATAATGTAACTGAGTTAAAAAATGCAGATGCTATATTAAACTGATTAAATACTCTATGATCAATATTATGAATATACCTTACTGCAAAAATTAACTGGTTCTCTAGTATTGCACTCGACTCTCTCTTCTGATTTAAACGAATAAAAAATTTTCACTCATGATATAATTTGCCCTTTAATACTAAACTTTACTATATCTTATTCTGTTTCAATATAAAAGTATTCATTAATATTACCTAGCTCTCGGTAAATCTTCATGAATTCATTTGATGGCATTTTAACTATTAATCATGCTCGAAAATGGCACTCCTAATTATTCATAATCGTAATTGAGTAAATTTAATTAAAATTCACTTATTCTTTCTAGATTAATTTATCTCTTGCACTTTTTGATTCAAATGTAATAGATAATATTTTTGGATCTTGGACTATGATCTAAATGTTATTTAATCTTTATTTTCAAAAAATTACAGAATCGTTTATAAATGATTTAAATTTATTTTTCGCGTCTATTTTTATAGAACCCCCAAGGATTAATTTTTATGTGTTAACATAGCAATATTAGTAGTTTCCATAGCCTTTTTAATTATTAATCAAATACTTGTAAATTTGCATTAACTGCCATTTCCGCAAATACATCAATAACTTTTTTAAATAACACTCCATTTTTAAACTTGTCTTCAAACATCTTTATGATTTTAATAAATATTGTTATTATTAATTTCTAAATTCATTCTCGAATGTAAATTTATCTGAGAAGAATTTGTCTTTTTATTCAATAAAAAGAGTCATGAAAGTTCTTTTGCATCTAGCAGAAGAAGATGCAAGCTGGTTATAGTGGATAAACTAAACTTAATTTCAGAATGAAGGCAAAACCTATAAGTATGGCATTTTGTTAATCATTTTAGATTTAAATGTGTTAAATATATATTGAAATTGTTAAAAGTTATCAAAAGATGAAGGATGTTGTATTTGAAACCATCAACCTAAATAAATAAGTTGAAGTTAAGAAAAATGCTAAATCACTGGTTTTGATATCTTTATTGACAATGAAAAACTTCTTAAATATTTCCACTGAACTAATCCTATGATGAGAAAACCATCTTGATATATAAATTGATCTTTAACATTCTAAATAGAATTTATTTTGTGCATCTAACTCTAGCCATCCAAGCAATTCAAAACTAAGAATGCATGATTTATATCATTTTCATTTGTTTAAGTTTCTCCTGAACCTCATATGATATTGAGCTTCTTTCTGTCATTAATCATTTAGGTGGTAATTTTATAATTTAAGTGTACGAATATAGCAATTTAAATAGGTTTTAAGAATTTATATAAAAATTAATCTATTAAATAAATGAATAGAGCAATTACTTAAATTAATATTTTAATTGTACTATTAAAACAAACAAAAAATTGATTTGGGATACATTTTATTATTGAATTTTAGTTTTGGTTGAGGAAGAAAAATAAAATAAATTATTGATTCTAGAAAAAGAAAGAAAGAAGGAAAACATTATTAAATGGTTATTTAAGCTTGATAGAACAAGTTGTTATTTTACAACTAATTTATTCTTTAAAGCTTAACTATTTATTGATTTATATAATTAAGCACCTATCATATCTGCTTCTGTTTAACTCTAGTTTTTTAATAGTATTATAAGGGATAGACTTATTTTTATTTCACCTATTACAAATAGAAATCATAACTGAATCAGCGAATGCCTACCAGAAAGATTTCAATTAAAATAAAAGTAACAAATTAGATTGATAAGATAATATAATTATCCCCTATTTTTTTTAGTATTTGCAATCACAATAAATAATATTATATTGTTCTCTTAAATTATAGATTAAATTTACTTATTTATATTCTATATAAATGATTCTTGTAAAGAGAGAAATTTCTAATGTTCAAATATTGATAGCTATTTTATTAAGTATTTATTAACTTACTTTTAATTAATAAAAGATTTTTTTTTTATTATAATTTTGGTAATTAANTAAACTAAACTTAATTTCAGAATGAAGGCAAAACCTATAAGTATGGCATTTTGTTAATCATTTTAGATTTAAATGTGTTAAATATATATTGAAATTGTTAAAAGTTATCAAAAGATGAAGGATGTTGTATTTGAAACCATCAACCTAAATAAATAAGTTGAAGTTAAGAAAAATGCTAAATCACTGGTTTTGATATCTTTATTGACAATGAAAAACTTCTTAAATATTTCCACTGAACTAATCCTATGATGAGAAAACCATCTTGATATATAAATTGATCTTTAACATTCTAAATAGAATTTATTTTGTGCATCTAACTCTAGCCATCCAAGCAATTCAAAACTAAGAATGCATGATTTATATCATTTTCATTTGTTTAAGTTTCTCCTGAACCTCATATGATATTGAGCTTCTTTCTGTCATTAATCATTTAGGTGGTAATTTTATAATTTAAGTGTACGAATATAGCAATTTAAATAGGTTTTAAGAATTTATATAAAAATTAATCTATTAAATAAATGAATAGAGCAATTACTTAAATTAATATTTTAATTGTACTATTAAAACAAACAAAAAATTGATTTGGGATACATTTTATTATTGAATTTTAGTTTTGGTTGAGGAAGAAAAATAAAATAAATTATTGATTCTAGAAAAAGAAAGAAAGAAGGAAAACATTATTAAATGGTTATTTAAGCTTGATAGAACAAGTTGTTATTTTACAACTAATTTATTCTTTAAAGCTTAACTATTTATTGATTTATATAATTAAGCACCTATCATATCTGCTTCTGTTTAACTCTAGTTTTTTAATAGTATTATAAGGGATAGACTTATTTTTATTTCACCTATTACAAATAGAAATCATAACTGAATCAGCGAATGCCTACCAGAAAGATTTCAATTAAAATAAAAGTAACAAATTAGATTGATAAGATAATATAATTATCCCCTATTTTTTTTAGTATTTGCAATCACAATAAATAATATTATATTGTTCTCTTAAATTATAGATTAAATTTACTTATTTATATTCTATATAAATGATTCTTGTAAAGAGAGAAATTTCTAATGTTCAAATATTGATAGCTATTTTATTAAGTATTTATTAACTTACTTTTAATTAATAAAAGATTTTTTTTTTATTATAATTTTGGTAATTAAAAAATAATAATGAATCAAAGATTAATTATTTTTTTCATAAATATTATAATTCATAGGTTGAAAATCCTTCATTTCCCCTATTCCAATATATCAAATATTATCCACTATTAGTGATAAACCCATAAATATCATTTAATTGGAATTCAGATGATTCTCTATTTTTTATATACCATTATTCATTTCTCTAATTATGGAAATAAATAAATGTTTTATGTCTTACTATAATCAAATTTCTCTGTTTGTTATAATGATTTGAAAACAATTTTCATCATAAATTTTATTATTTCTATTTAATTAAAGTGTTTAACTTCTTTCTCTTAAAAAACACCATTTATTAATTCAAATATATAAAATTTATTGACAATTTAACCACCACGTCTCCAAATAAAGTAATCCACTTTTATAAACTTAACCTTATATCCATAGTCTTAAATTGATTGTTTAACAAACTATTTTAATTCATATTTAACTTAAAATCGACTGATGTAAAAGTAAATATTTCACTAAAAAGGATTCTAAATAATCTATTTATCCTTTTCCATAAAAAAATTTTTAAGATGATAAAAAGAAGGATGATTTTACTCATTAATTATGTAAAATTTACCTATAATTATAATAAATATTTAGTTTCTAATAAATAATTTGTATTTCTAATACTTCAAACATAATTAAAAGGCTCTTGTAGATGAATATTTTGATATTAAGAGAATTTGAAGTATATGAAGAAAATTGAAAATTTTATGATTGAATGATGAATCCAGCCAATATTATGGGTGATAATAATAATAAGTTTTATGTTGTTTAATAATTAAAAAAGAAAAACAATAACAAGAAATAATAATTATGTTTAGACTATTTTTATATAAGATGTGGAAGAATGGGGTAGAAAAATCAGCAAAATAATTTTTAAAAGATGAAAAATAAAAAAAAGAGCAAAGTGAGATAAAAAAGTGTTAAAGGAGAGTATAGATTTGGAAAGGTATTATAGTTGAGGGGATCAAAAAGTATTAGAGAGATTGGAAAAACTAGGAGAAAAGTAGAATGAATCATTAGTAACAGATAAAAGATCTAGTTAGATTGATTTTGATATGAAGAGTATTACTAATTTATAATTAATTAGTTGTAGTTACGAATCTAAGAAAACTCCTTTAGGTAAATTAGCTGTTTCAACTATCAAATAAGGATTTGAAGTTCTTAAATAAATATCAGAAGAATTGAATTTTGTATTCAAACTCCTCATGATTTTGGATATATGAGAGCTCCTCTTATTTAAACTCCTAAGATATTTAAAATAAATTGAAATGTTGGACTCAATTTTGCATATACAAATAACTACTATTATTTTAGAAGAAAACTAGGATTTTACAAATGTTACTGATGAAAATTCCTAAAAATTAGGAATAAACATGTAATTTTTAGAACCTACTGACTAACTAAAAAGTCTAAACTATGAAGTAATGTGTATCAAATACACAATGCGATGCTCATAGAGGATGTGGATTAGAAGTGCTTTATGTTTTTAAATTGTAGAAAGATTGAAATGATAATCGATTCAAAAAAGAATTAGGTAATAGAATGTTACTAAGGCATGGATTAAGACTTATAAATTTTGTAGGCATTTTAATGGTTGTATGTTTGGTAAAGTAAATATAAAATTTTATCAAAATAGGGTTTTTATTTTTTTTGATATAGTAGTTTTATATATGTGGGGCATGTAAAATATATTAGAAATCAAAGTAAGAAATTCCAAGAGGAATAGTAATGATGAACTGAGTTTGAATTATCTATAAAACATTAAAAAATCATTTGAAAAATAGGGTTACGACAGTTAACGATAAATTTTGGTTTAGTGTATTTTAACTCTAAGTTTGAATGAACAGTATATTAACAGTGTAGAATTGAATAAGGTGACTTGAGGCAAGATGAAGTATCAAAGAATTAAAAAACATTAGAGGAGTTTATGAAAGGGCTTAAGATCACACTTGAACTTTCGAAGAGAATAATTTTAGGGAGAAATAACTGTATTAGATTCAAAATTATCATTTTATGAATCTTTTATATAATAAAATCATATTAGGAAGAAATGCAAATCTTGGCCAAGTTTTAATAATTCAAATTCTGTTTAGAATTCATCCAAAATCCAACTTGCAACATTATTCTACTTTTGGACAGCAGTCAGTATTCAGATATCCAAAAATACCAATGCATAATGAACTAATGAATCTCACAATTCATATGATCAACCTCTATTAACTACTTTATGCTTACATTGAGACCTGATGAATTCTTACTAATAAATCATCTATAAAAGAATGGGCATCTGTGTCCTAGAGCTATACAACCTAAAATATTAAAAGAGACCTTGTAACGATGTCATTTAAATAAGTTTTAAGAATTAGATTTTTTTCTTAAAGATTTCTTATCTACATTATTTAACTTTTAAAATAAACATTTAATAATAAAAAATAATATAATATCAGATTCATGATCTAAGAAAAATGCTGCAAAACGAAATATTAGTTGGAGAAGGTTAAATATTTTAAATAAACAATAAAAATAGTGAAATCCATTCTTGAGAATTAAAAATTGTAAGTATTCTAATAAAAATTTGATTAGTAAACAATTGATCATCTAATAGAAATATGAAATAAGAAAAAAACAAATGCGATAATCAAAAACAAAGGGAACAAAATACTTATATAATATGATGATTTATGTAAAATTAAAAAAATTAAAAAAAAACAGTTTCTAAAATTCACTAAATATAAGTAACTTAAACATATAAGAAATGAAAGATAAGAATTATTTGACAGAAAAAGAAAAAAGTATTGATCATGTTCTTAATATATATAAAAAAAATGGTAGAAGTGATTTCATAATAAACATAGATAAAATAAATTTCAACAGATTTTAATAAGCTTCATAAGATTGTTATTATTAAGCTGCATTTGTCGATAAAGGTAAAAGGAATTGTATTATAAACATAGCTAAGAAGTTTAATAGTAAAAACAGTTTTAAAGAAGCTTTATAATATTATGATTATACAATTTAATAAAATCCTGAAAATTATTTCGCATTTGTAAATAAAGGTAAAATGGATTAACAATTAATATAGCATATACATTAGTAGGATTAAATAGATTTAAAGAAGCTTTATAATATTATGATTATGCAATAAAAATGAATCCTGAAGCTTTTGAAGCATTTGTCAATAAAGGTAAAATTGATTTAATAATACTCAAAGCTAATACATTATATGGTCTAAACAGATTTGAAGAAGCTTTATAATATTATGATTATGCAATATCTAAAAATCCAAAAGCTTATTTAGGATTTGTCAATAAAGGTAAAATGGCTAAGGAATTAATATAGCATCTACATTAGTAAGATTATATAGATTTGAAGAAGCATTATATTATTATGATTATGCAATTTAAATAAATCCTGAAAATTATTTGGCATTTGTAAATAAAGGTAGAAGTGATTGTATTATAAATATAGCCGATACATTATAAAGTTTAAATAGATTTGAAGAAGCTTTATAATATTACGATTATGCAATTGAAAAAAATCCTGAAAATTATGTAGCATTTGCCAATAAAGGTAAAATGGATTAACAATTAATATAGCATCTATATTAGAAAGTTTAAACAGATTTTAAGAAGCTTTATAATATTACGATTATGCAATTGAAAAAAATCCTGAAAATTATGTAGCATTTGCCAATAAAGGTAAAATGGATTAACAATTAATATAGCATCTATATTAGAAAGTTTAAACAGATTTGAAGAAGCTTTATAATTATGTGATTATGCTATTTAAAAAGATCCTGAAGGTTATTTAGCATTCTTCAATAAGGGTAAAAGCGATAGTATTTAAAAAAGCTAGGGTACTAGAAAGCTTAAGCAGATTTGAAGAAGCTTTATAATATTATGATTATGCAATTTAAAAAAATCCCGAAGCTGCTGATATATATAATAATAAAGGTAAAATTTATTAATAATAAATATAGCATATATATTAGTAAGTTTAAAGAGATTTGAAGAAGCTTTATAATGTTATGATTATGCAATTTAAAAAAATCCTGAAGTTTCTAGGGCGTTTGTCAATAAAGGTAATATTATATTATAAATAAAGCTAGGACACTATAAAATTTAAACAGATTTGAGGAAGCTTTATAATATTTAGATTGTGCAATTTAAAACAATCATGAACATTATTTAGCATTTGTCATTAAAGGTAATGGGATATTAATAATTATTAGCATCTACTTTATAAAGTTTGAATAGATTCGAAGAAGCTTTATAAATATGTGATTATGCAATTTAAATAAATCCTGAAAATTGTTTAGCATTTGTAAATAAAGGTAAAGTGTTTGAATTATAACATAGCAAATACATTAAAAAGTTTAAATAGATTTGAAGAAGCTTTATAATATTATGATTACGCAATTTTAAAAAATCCTGAGGATTATTTAGTATTTGTCAATAAAGGTAATTGGATATTAATAATTATTATAGCATCTACTTTATAAAGTTTGAACAGATTCGAAGAAGCTTTATAAATATGCGATTATGCAATTTAAAAAAATCCTGAAAATTGTTTAGCATTTGTAAATAAAGGTAAAGTGTTTGAATTATAAACATAGCAAATACATTAAAAAGTTTAAATAGATTTGAAGAAGCTTTATAATATTATGATTCTGCAATTTAAATAAATCCTGAAAATTGTTTAGCATTTGTAAATAAAGGTAAAGTGTTTGAATTATAAACATAGCAAATACATTAAAAAGTTTAAATAGATTTGAAGAAGCTTTATAATATTATGATTACGCAATTTTAAAAAATCCTGAGGATTATTTAGTATTTGTCAATAAAGGTAATTGGATATTAATAATTATTATAGCATCTACTTTATAAAGGTTGAACAGATTCGAAGAAGCTTTATAAATATGTGATTATGCAATTTAAAAAAATCCTGAAGGCTATTTAGGATTCATCAATAAGGGTAAAAGCGATAGTATTTAAAAAAAGCTAGGACACTAGAAAGTTTAAACAGATTTGAAGAAGTTTTATAATATTATGATTCTGCAATTTAAATAAATCCTGAAAATTGTTTAGCATTTGTAAATAAAGGTAAAGTGTTTGAATTATAAACATAGCAAACACATTAAAAAGTTTAAATAGATTTGAAGAAGCTTTATAATATTATGATTCTGCAATTTAAATAAATCCTGAAAATTCAGACTTGTACAATAATAAAGGTAAAAACAATAGTATTTAAAAAAAGCTAGGACACTAGAAAGTTTAAACAGATTTGAAGAAGCTTTATAATATTATGACTATGCAATTTTAAAAAATCATGAAAGCTATAAAGCATTCGTCAATAAAGGTACAAGCGATAATATTATAAAACAGCAAGAACGTTAGAAAGTTTAAATAGATTCGATGAAGCTTTATAATATTATGATTCTGCAATATAAATAAATCCTGAAAATTGTTTAGCATTTGTAAATAAAGGTAAAGTGTTTGAATTATAAACATAGCAAATACATTAAAAAGTTTAAATAGATTTGAAGAAGCTTTATAATATTATGATTCTGCAATTTAAATAAATCCTGAAAATTATTTAGCATTTGCAAATAAAGGTAAAAGCAATAGTATTTAAAAAAAGCTAGGACACTAGAAAGTTTAAACAGATTTGAAGAAGCTTTATAATATTATGACTATGCAATTTTAAAAAATCATGATAGCTATAAAGCATTCGTCAATAAAGGTACAAGCGATAATATTATAAAACAGCAAGAACGTTAGAAAGTTTAAATAGATTCGATGAAGCTTTATAATATTATGATTCTGCAATATAAATAAATCCTGAAAATTGTTTAGCATTTGTAAATAAAGGTAAAGTGTTTGAATTATAAACATAGCAAATACATTAAAAAGTTTAAATAGATTTGAAGAAGCTTTATAATATTATGATTACGCAATTTTAAAAAATCCTGAGGATTATTTAGTATTTGTCAATAAAGGTAATTGGATATTAATAATTATTATAGCATCTACTTTATAAAGGTTGAACAGATTCGAAGAAGCTTTATAAATATGTGATTATGCAATTTAAATAAATCCTGAAAATTTTTTAGCATTTATAAATAAAGGTAAAGTGTTTGAATTATAAACATAGCAAATACATTAAAAAGTTTAAATAGATTTGAAGAAGCTTTATAATATTATGATTCTGCAATTTAAATAAATCCTGAAAATGATTTAGCATTTGCAAATAAAGGTAAAGTGTTTGAATTATAAACATAGCAAACACATTATAAAGTTTAAATAGATTTGAAGAAGCTTTATAATATTATGATTATGCAATTTAAAAAAATCCTGAAGATTCAATTATGTACAATAATAAAGGTAACAAAAATAAAATATTAAATTTAGCTAACACATTAGATAAATTAAATAGATTTGAAGAAGCTTTATAATATTATGATTAATCAATTTAAAAAAATCCTGAAAATTCAGACTTGTACAATAATAAAGGTAAAAACAAATCAAATATTAATTTTAGCTAACACATTAGCTAGATTAAATAGATTTGAAGAAGCCTTATAATATTATGATTATGCAATTTAAAAAAATCCTCAAGTTTCATTCTTGTATAATGGAAAAGGTAAAAAAAAATAAAATATAAAATATAGCTGATATATTAGATAAATTAAATAGATTTGAAGAAGCTTTATAATATTATGATTATGCAATTTAAAAAAATCCTGAAGATTCAATTGCATATAATAATAAAGGTAAAAACAAATAAAATATTAATTTTAGCTAACACATTAGCTAGATTAAATAGATTTGAAGAAGCCTTATAATATTATGATTATGCAATTTAAAAAAATCCTGAAGATTCAAAGGCATATAAGAATAAAGGTAAAAACATATAAAATTTTAAATTTAGCTGATACATTAGATAAAATAAATAGATTTGAAGAAGCTTTATAATATTATGATTATGCAATTTAAAAAAATCCTGAAGATTCAATTGCATATAATAATAAAGGTAAAAACAAATAAAATATTAATTTTAGCTAACACATTAGCTAGATTAAATAGATTTGAAGAAGCCTTATAATATTATGATTATGCAATTTAAAAAAATCCTGAAGATTCAATTGCATATAATAATAAAGGTAAAAACAAATAAAATATTAATTTTAGCTAACACATTAGCTAGATTAAATAGATTTGAAGAAGCCTTATAATATTATGATTATGCAATTTAAAAAAATTCTGAAGATTTTAATGCATATATGAATAAAGGTAAAAACATATAAAATTTTAAATTTAGCTGATACATTAGATAAATTAAATAGATTTGAAGAAGCTTTATAATATTATGATTATGCAATTTAAAAAAATCCTGAAGATTCAATTGCATATAATAATAAAGGTAAAAACAAATAAAATATTAATTTTAGCTAACACATTAGGTAAATTAAATAGATTTGAAGAAGCTTTATAATTTTATGATTATGCAAATTTTCTTTAAATGTCTCATTATATATCACTTTAAATAGAATGAAATATAATTAATCAAATATATACACTTAGATTATCTTTAAATATATATTTCTAGTATCCATTAAAATTTACAATATTGTTTTTTTTTTCCTTAAAGATTTTTTCTCCCCCCTCTACCTTCTTTATTTTATT